TCATCTCAAGTTTATTTTAATATAGACAAAGTATTCAGGGATTCCTGGAGGTGATTTTTCGGCGAAATTTATTTTACACATTTCAGAAATACACTCTCTGCAATGTATTCGTCAACTGAAAAACGTTTTACGTATCATTGAAAACGTTTACTTTCATCGTCATTTACACACAACTTATATTCGATAAAAATGATTAGTATAAATAAAAAAATGAGAAGTTTCATTTATATTTTAATAATAAAATATTTATAATTTTATTGTAAATTCTAAATATTTTTTTCCAGGTTCTTATAATTTTCTGCAAATTTAATTTACCGCAATGATTGAGAATTAATTTTTACCATCATTTTTCATAAAAATAAAAAATAAGTAATTGAAAATTATCATTTTTCTATCATGAAGGATTAATTTGTTGCTTTGAACACTATCCGATAAAGAATTTTATTGAAAAAAAGAAAAATTTAATTCTTGCCAAACATAATACTGGAGTGTTTATATATAATTTTATGAAACTATTTTTTATAAATATTATAACTTATTGAAAAGGAAACAATGCACTTTATTATTTATAGTATTTGGTCGTTATTTTATGGAATGTGTGAGATTTGAGAAGCACTTGGATAGCTTCTTGAATACATTTGGCAGCTTGGATATTTTTTGGCAAGATACGTATATAAAAATGTGAAATAAATCGTAAATAACATTTTTCTTTTCATAAATGCGCACGCTCACAAACAAATATATATATATATGTACATATATATATAACACACATGGACACGTTGTTTTCTTCTTTGTCGTTTTTGAGCGTTGCATTGAAACTTGCACATTATTTCATCGTTCTTATCATTATATATGCATTGCTTATTTTCAATTAATTCGCATAATATCTCATTCATTTAATAACATTTCATCAATCACAAATTAATAAATTTATTATTTTACAACAAAAGGGCGTATATTATCTAGATAACAAAATTTAATATAAACTAATTTACAATATACACACAAAAATCAAAACTAACTTTTCCATTTTAATAACCTTCGATTATCTAGTTTTTAATTATTTTTTTTTAACTTGTATATACATATTAGACTGTTTAATGTATTAAATAAATATTTTTCAACCAGAAATATTGTAAAAATTAAATGAATTTTCTGTTTATTTTAAAATATTTTTGTATATGGGGTGCATTTGTTATTTAAATATTTATCAAAATTAATTTTTATAAATTAATAAATACTTTTAAAGAAAAAAATATTTTAAATAAATTAAAATATGTAAAATGAAATATTTTAGAGTACTCATATTTTACACACTTTTTTTTTAGAAAGCGCCCCATTTACAAAAGCCATTATATTTTTTAAAATTCAGAGAAACTAATTTATAAATTTTTTTCAACAATTTAACATAACTATGCCTCATTTATAACGTATATTATATTATTTCAATTGTGTTTTATTATAATTAAAGATCCTTTAAAGGATATTTTCATTTCAATTTTCTAATGCATGAAAACAAAATTTCAATTTATTTAAGGACATAAAGAGAAAGTATATTAATTTTTTCATATTATAAAGGGTAGAAAATCCAATGCATTTTTAACGAGTTGGAGTGAATTTTTTTTGAAAATAAAAAGGTCTATGTAACTTCACACCGTACATTTATGCGCACATATTTGTGTATTCATATATCATACCCATATGTATACTATTATTGCACCCATGCACCTGCACTGCCCTTTTTATCGTATATTTTAAAAAGTAAAATTCATCTAATTGGTCGTTTCTAATTGCAATTGAATCGTAACGAAACTTTAAAAATATATAATGTATAAATTTTTAAAATACATTTGAATTATTTTGAAATGCAAATTTAATCTCAGGAAAGCAAATACCGTTATAAACATTTTTTACGTGATTTGAAATTTACATAGTAACTTGCGAAAAAATATATTTTGGTATAAGAATTGTTTTTGAAAAATAAATAACGTGAAATCAGAAGTAGAGATTCGTGATTAAATATTTAATTAAATGTTTTATGTAGTAAATTGAAAATTAACATTTTAAAATTAATAATAAGTATAAATATGAAAATGTTGGGGAAACAAAAAGTTTAATAGTCAATAAAGTGTAAAAAAAAATATACGTACATAAAATTAGTGGCGAAAAGTTTTTGTTGAATGGAACGATGTAAGGGGATGATTTCGTATGACGTCAGTGCCAATCAAAACTGAAGGAATTGTGAAGCTACTATTTTCTAAATTTTAATAGTCACTTTATGACTCCAGCAGTACTTGTCAATATCGGGACATTTTGTGTGACACGAGTATTTTCGACGAAAAGTAAACAAAGCGATCTTCCTAAATAAATACTGTGAAAGGAATAAAGTGAAGGAATAAGTGAGATTAAAATTAAATAGTAACAAAATTAATAATAATCGTCGATAACTAGCAATTTTATAATTCGAAAATTTTTATAAATAGAAAACTTTGTAGGTTAGTTATTTCTTTTTTTTCTTATGTTTCAGATTATAATATCTGATGGAGTCCAAAAAGTCAAAAGAATCTCGTCACGTAAGTATTATTTAGATTTGCATAAAGGATTAATGAAGTTCTACTTTCAGTAATAGGCGACCGGAAGAACAGAAAAAGATGATTAATTTTTGGAAATTTTACCAAATTTCCTTATACTAGATTATGAATAAATTAATACAGTTTGCTGAGGATTCTGTAAATCTCTGCGAGAATGGCAAGAAACTTTCAAGAGAGAAACAAGAAGCAAAAGATTGATTTTTGGAAATTTTATTAAATTTCCTCATACTAGATCATGAATAACTAATAATAATTTTAGTCATTTTTTCCTTCTATTATTCTAAGTCTAAAATAATTATTAAATATTAAAAATATTATTTATCAAATAATAAAACTCAAAACTCACCCCCGTGATTTCGAGTGACGTCACTGGCATGCAAAACTACTGAAGTCAAATGAAGTACTATTTAAACATTTTAATAGTAATTCGCTGACTTCAGCAGTACACTGCACGTTCGGTAAATTTTATGTCGACACGAAGCATTAAATGTAAACATACAAGATTTAAATTACCGTCTGGTTTTATTTTATAGCATTAACAATTTGTGTTTGAAATAGTTTGAAATAACTAGTAACAGTGAAAAAGACAATCTGCGAATTGTAAGGATAACAAGTGATTTTATTACTAGTGATTAAAATTATAACTTTTAATGTGATGTCAAATTGTATTTGGTAGCGAATGTTAGGTCATATTTTTCGTTAAAACAGGTCAAAAAAATTTACAAACATTGTTTAAAAATGGAATAGAATGATGTAGAAATGTCGTTAAATTTTAATTAATTATTTCCACAAAAATTAGGAATCCAGAATTTAAATTTAAAATATCATCAGAAAATATTAAAAACCCATAATACCCATTGTAAAACCCATAATATATTTCTTCGCAAGAATGAAGCTATGACGTTTAATTGCAAAGTAACCAACAGTATCAAATTTAAATGACTCATTAGATAGTATAATTTTAAGAAAAAAATCTGCTACACATAGAAATGTTAAATTAAAATTTTTTCTAACTAAGTAAAAAAAAAAATCTTATCGAATTTTTGAACTAATGAAAATTATTTATAAATTTTGAGGTAAGTTCGCGTACGGATATTTAGTACATAATTACGTGAAAGGTACACACAGATACATAGACAACGCTCGTATTTCACAACAGGTTGTTTTTTTTTCGTTCTATGCTTTGACGTCGCTAAACAGTCTTCTTTGTGATAACTATAGACTAAGTTTATGAAAAATAATTTACAGTAAAAATTGAAGAAAAATTATGTACATGAGCATTGTGATTTCGTACACGAGTGTAAAGTAATAGATACTATTCTTTTTTTTTTTAATATTTGCTTTTGATAATAAATTTTTGAAATTATGCTTATAGATAAGCAAAAATTTCAAATTAAAGCAGCCAAAAAGCATAATTTTGTTGATGAAAAAAAAAAATGAAATATAAAAGGCATTAAATTTGTTTTTATTACTAGTTACGTTATCTTTTTTCCTTTCCTTCTTTTTTGATAATTAAGAAAATATCTTTTAATGCTTTTTTTGAATTATCGCTCTCTTTTATAATATTGAAAATAATTTTGAAAATAATAATGAGATATGTTATTTGAAACTGTTTTTCATTTCTTTATCTAATAGTACGACATATTATTAACAAATAGCAACGAAAGTTTAATAATTATGTGTTTTTTTTAATGATCGTCAAATATTTAAATAAGCTAGAATTGTTTAAACGGCAATGTTGAAATTGGTCCGAGTTTATAAGGTGGCTTAAAAATTCATAACTAATTTATCGTTTCTAATTTTTAAATTTTTTTTCAACAAATGAGCTAAAGCTTTTCATTAGATAAAATCGTGATCTAAATTTGTTCTGATTACTCTACACGTTGTTTCTCCATAATGCGCTATATTCCTTTTTGAGATCTTAGATGTAAATTTATCACAAATTTTGTCAACTTACAAATCAACTATTTACAAAATTTTATTACATCTCGTTTTTTTGCAGATTGCTCGATGTTTAAAGATATACTTTATCTCAAGAAATTTTCCTCTTTTTTTGAATCGATTGTATAAAAACCAACTCGTGTTTTATCATACAAATGTTTTGCTATTTTAGGAATTTGTTCTTCCTCTAGTGTGTTCAAAATAACCTATATTTATATATTTCTTGTTTTCTTTCAAAATTCACTATTATTCTCTCTCTCTCTCTTTCGCTCTCTCTCTCGCTCTCATCTACCGGAACAGGTTTTCTTCATACACACATATTGCAAACCCGTTCCGGTTACTACGTGCGCTATAAACAGGTCTCTTTTTGATCGACATTGATGATCACCATAGAAGCTTGGGTGGGTAATTCATTTTGGACGGGTACACCTGTCGGCACCTCTTCTAGTATTGGTCAAAGGGTTGTTGTTCTTGAAACAGAGGCAGATGGTGGCGGTGGTGGAGGAGGCGGGGGTGGAGGTGGCGATATCACCACATCTGGTTCACCCACCAGGTCGCAGTCGAACCTCCAAAGAATATTTTCATGGTGGTCACCTCCTATTGAACAGAATAGAAATATTTTTTAAAATATTTTTCATTTTTAAGAAAAAACATTTAGTTTGTAAACGAATAGGTATTATTTTCTTATGACTTAAAAATAATAAATTCTAATAAATTTTGTAAATAAACGACACCAGGGTATGAATCCAACCATAATGACTGTAAAATGTTATAAATTATAAAAAAAAATTTCTTATGATACTCACTTCATTTTGTTTAAATAATAAATTCACGTATTAACAAACCAACTTGACAAAGTCGTCAAATTAATAGGCGACTTGTAATAAATAAATTCGATTCTGATTTGTTCTTTCGTTCTGTTATGAAAACTCTCGCGAGGCATTGAGGATTCTCGCTAGGTCACAAAAACGTCGAGGACATTACTATCTATCATTGAAATTTGAAGTCATCAAGGTAAGAGCTTCCTGATGTATATATTTGGATGAGAGTTTCGAATATTCAAGAACAACAGGAAGACGAAATTGCTGTTTTGTTAACGATCTGTCAAACTATTATTGGCAGCCAATTTTCTATGGATTTCTCGCATCAATCAATTTAACATCGGATAGTGTAGGGATCTGCGTTACCGACGACTGCGTATCGATTATCGGTATTAATAATATTATAACATCAATAATATTATTGAATATTAATTGATCTCGATGACACCGAGAAGAGAGGCCGCTGTTTAGCGACGCTTTCGAGTTTGACTCGTCAGTCATTTTACTCTCATTCTCATCCTGGTATCAGTGCAGTATAGTGTGCTTTCCTCTATTCATTATATTATTGTGAAACTAAATTAAAAATATAACAAAATTCTAATTGTGAGACGAGGCGTCATCGTCGTCGTCAAAATGACAGTGAGTCCCCAATTATTACTTATGAGTTGTTTTCCTTCTAAATCGATCTCGTTATTATTTAAAATTAAATTAAATAAATAAAATTGAATCTTATTGTTTTTGTAAAATTCATATTTTATATGATAAAAATATTTTGTTACAAGCTATTATACATTTTTCAACAAAATTTAGATACCCATTTATGGTCCCGATGGATCGCGGGGAATGTATACGAAAAAAAACGAATAAAAAGTCACTAACTTTCTTCTTTTGACATAAAACTATAATGCTCCCTGTTATGCTTTATATTTGAAACATATTTTTCTTTAATAATTTCACTGCCTCAGGAAAATATTTTAGATAATGTCAAAGACAAAGAGAGATTTATTACAGTTTATAAGAGATATTGAATACAAAGACAATTTTTGATCGAATCAACAATGTTATTTATATATACAAAAGTCTCTAATATTGTTGATGTCTTTTTTTGTAGAAGAGTTTAAAAAAATAATATATATCTCAACGTGGAAGTTTACATGTTCTTTGTACTTGGTCCAAATAAAAAAAATTAAATTTCCAAAAGCTGTTTGTCTAAACAATTAGTGAATATATTTCCTGGGAAAATGAAACAGGTACTAAGGAGAAATTGTATTTTTTTACAATTCGTTAATTTTACAGAATATTTTTCTTTTGCTTAATCGAATTGTATGATTTTATAATTAATTTCATCACCACCCATTAAATATAGGTCAAATGCAGAAGAACAAGAGATCACAACCATATATATAAGATTTCATCCAATTTCCTCATATCTCAAATCTATTTCGATTCTGTTTCTAAACACAATTTCTCATTCTATTTAGTGATAAGATCTATCTGTTTTTCTGAATAACAAAATACTGTTCTGAATTCTGATTAATTTTACGACATAAAAAAATTTAATTTTGACATATTCCAATGTTAAAGATCAAATTTTAAAATTATGATTATTTAAAATTAAATGATAAATATTTAAATTCTTACACCCTACCATTTTATACTCTTCGGGAAAATTAAATATAGTTGTGGAGCATCTTTTATTTTTTAATTTAATTCAATAAATCACAAGTTTGTATTTTTAGAAAGATCATTTTCTTCAAATAATTTAATGTAATTAATCAATAATTCAAAATTTTCTAATGGATAATTATAATAATCCTGTTTGGGATATTTGGATGGTAGCGCTACTTTAAACGTTCCGACTATTATTGTGGACGAAGATCGTGATGAAAGAGACTTCAAGAAGAGCAAGAACATCGATCCTTATGATTGTATTGAGTAGAAGCAGCGAGAAGTTCGCATTTAGTTCAATTCATTCTGGAGTGGATAATGAGTCAATCAAAGGGGATCATGAAGCCAGTGTAAAGCTCAGAAAAGAGAAGGCTTTTTAAAAACAATGAAGAGGAAGTCGGAAAGATAGTCAAATCTTGCGATATTTAAATAAATATGAATTTGACCATTAAGTACTGAATAGATGCACTGAATAATTTTCAAGCCCTACTTCAGAAAACGATAGCTAAGCACGCAGTAGCTGTTGGGTCAAATAGGAGTCTATCAACTTTGCTAATGGTAACATGCCTATTAAGGACGGACTTTAGACCTCAGGATCTTGTTAGTGAGGCGAAAACAAAGTACGTCATAGCAGTTAATGAAGATAGCAAAATTGGTGGTGCTACAGGCGATGCGGAGGTGAACCGAGAAGAGCGGAACAGGAAAATTCCGTTGTACCTGGCCTATCGGCTTACCAACGGTATGAATCCTATGGACAATTTAGTCCTCGTTCAACTTGCCTCTTTACTTCGGAAGTTCGCAAAGTGATTCGTGACTCTCACTGTACATCGTCATTTAAACATTCGTTCAACATAGTCATCTACAACACTGACTCTCACTTTAAATTAAAGTGGTCGGTTTCCGATAGTCAGGATAGGACCTTTCCAATCCCTAGGATTTATGCAGGTTCCTGCCCTAGTTGTTATGCTGCAACTCACACGTCGACAATTTTGAAGAACTCTGATCACTTTTGAATCAGCTATTCGCTCTGAGCGATATGAGCTTTTGACCACTGTCCCACGAGTCCAACACCAGAGGACCGGACAAGGAAAAGTATTTTGCTTTTACGACACGCAGAGGGCAACGTTGGGATTATTCGCCTACCGATGTCCACACGGCCAAATGAGTGGATCAACAATGGTGATCCGAGTCAACATGAACAACGAATGCCAACGTACTAGCAAACTTCAGAGAGCAGTGAATCCGGAAGACAGCCACACGCAGGTTGTGAGCGCAAAACCTACAAGAAAGGAAGATCTCTTGATCAGAATCGAAGAAGACTCCAATATGGAAGCATTCACTGCTGAGGTCACCAAACCTACACATTACCGATAATTCCTTGAAGCTTTACTCAATGATTTTAGGTTACCTTTGGAAAGTTCCATCTCCGCGTTCAGAAAAGATGGTTTAAATCTTAAAATGTCCGCATGTGTGCAAATGTTTAAGGCGAAACTTGACTGAATAGGTAAATTACATTTTCGTTAAAGGTTCAAAATGAAAGTAGACTTAATAAATAAATAAACCCCGCTTTAACTATTTAGTGTCACCGGTGCCTGGCGTAAGGTCACATAGAAAGGGTTTGTAAGGCAGCGGACTGATCGACGGCGTGCCTCAATTCAGTGAAGTCGATCATAAGTTTTCAAACTGTAGTAGACGCCCAAGTTGCTTTTTATGTAGAGAAAAGTATGTTGATAAGGTGAACATTATCTATATCGCCGGCAGCAGAAAATGCGGAGTCTTCAGGACGGCTCTTAAAGAGTTTACAAAGACTCACTCTTGAAGAAAGAATAAATTAGCCAGAAAGATCGTCAATGGCAAGGGTTGCTAAAGCTAGATACCAAGAATTTTAAAGCTTTGACGGCAGTATCGTAGTGTGGGGATTTGTCCAAACGAAGTCTGGTTTTTAGTGGGTCGACCAGAACAAAAACTGTCATAACCCCACATAAACTCGGAACTTTTTAAAGTTTTTAACAGTTTTTAATGAAATTCAATGAGATTTAATTGTCTTATTTTGCAAAGAGTTGATTTTGCATCATTTCCACAAAATTATTTATTAAATGTTCATATTATATCTTCGAAACTTCATTCTTCTTTATGATATGGATATTGTATTACACATTATATTAGCAAAATGATTATGTTTATTTCATTTAATAAACCATCTGAATACCATATTTTTAAGAATAATAATTTTGGTCTCTTCTACAGATTTTTTTCAATATCGACAGTTTTTGATATTTTTAATTTAATAAATTTTTATAAATCTAAAATCTAATTTAACAATTGCAAATCAAAAATAATTATTAACCGCGTTGTGTTGCCTTGTAATATAATCTACAACATATTAAATTTTAGATGGTAGGTCTGATCATCCATTGAATGGATGTTTATTTAACTATTGTTGGTACATCATTTCTAGAATGTTTTCTGAATTCAGTATTCAATAAGCATACAATGTATGTATTATGAGAGAGCCTAAGGGTATAAAACTATCTTTTACCTTCGTTAGCCTAGCTTTGAATTCAGTTCAGCAAAGCGAAAGCATTATTATTCCCAATTCCTTATTCTAATATCTAAATTCCAATTAAGGATAAACCCGAAAATAATTGTAACGAAAATGGAGAAGTATGAAAATAATAATTCAAAAAATTATATACAAATAGCGATTACATTTTTGTTGTAATGATTTTAAGTTTATATATATATTTACTAATGAAAATGAACTCAGGAATTTTTATTTATCTTTAAGAAAAATGTAAAGAAATGTCAATAATGATGCAAATTAAGGCAGATAGCATATTTGTTATAAAAAAAAAGTTTTGGAAAATCATCGCTCGTTTTGATCCACGCAACACTATTCAAAAATATTCAGTGATCCTCACGAAGCCACCAATAACAAGTGCCATTCTGGTGATTTTAAAGAAATAATGAATATGAATTAAAAATAATAATACAAAAGCAACCCTCCCAAAATTATGAAAAATAAAAGGAAACCCACAATTTGAAATTTCACTAAATTACCAACAGGCTGCAATATAATTCTTTGGTTTGATATACGAGTGTAACTCTCAAAATTGTAATAAAGATTTGATTCTGTAACTAAATAATTAATTATCAACAGTAAATATACTTGAATCATTCCTTTCAGTTTCAGTTAGAGAGTTGCATCGTGGTTAAATGTGGTTTCTGTTTTATGTCGTGTCTCAAAAGTCGTTCTCTGTTGCGAATTTGTTTCAACGGAATCTACCCTGAATTTAATGGTTTTTGGATTTTGGTTGTTGGTTTGTGAGTAGTATATATATATTTAAGTATTAGAATTTTCTAGACAAAAATGTTTAATAAACAAATTAAATTAACCCTAATTTAAATGAAAATAATTTTTTTTATTGTCAATATGTACTCTATAAAAACAGAAATATCCCGCATTTTATACTAAGTACAAAATTCGCTGAAGTTACATTTTAGAAAAATATCTTGATAAAATTTTAAACACACCTACAATACGAGGTCTGTACATGCATTATTGTGATAAATGTTCAATTACTTATTTGTACAACTTAAAGAATTGTGACACCTAGAAATGCACAAATATCCTTTTCCCCTGCATGCACATTTTTTAGTGATGCATTTTGTCACACATTTAATTTTATTTTAAATTCTTTTTGGATGTCAAAAGTATCCATGATTTTGAATAAATAATATTGTTTCTGCGAAGACGGATATACTAAATAAGTTTTCAATTAGCAAGTGCAATTTATTTGTCATTATAATACCGAGCTGGCTCAGAACAAAAAATTCTGTACAAAGCTCGGAAATATCATCTTACGTACTGTTAAAAATTAATTTCTTTTTCCAATTACCTTGACCCAAAGCGGTGCCTGAAGAGCCCCGTCTCTGCCTCAGTGGAAGTTGATGTTTGTGCGTATGACTGTGACCGTGATTGTGGGAATGTGAGTGGCAGTGCACATGACGTGTGTGCGTGGGAGTGTTTCTGCATGGCTGATGGCGCTGTTGATGAGGTTGATGATGAAGCCTGTGCTAGGTGTTCCCTGCATGATCTGCCGTCACTTGATCGAAGCTCAATGATTTCTTCATCTCCGTCATCGCTAGTGCACCAGTTTCCCGCTATAAATATCTTTTTATTAGTTTCCTTGTAGTTTCTTATCATTTTTTTTTAATTTACTAATAATTAAAAAATAATTTCTTTTTGTATTCATAATTCCAGGTTCTTTTATTTCTTTAAGCTTCTTTTAAGGTAAGCTTTGTAGATAGGTTCAAGTTCTTTTTTTTTAAGAAAAAAGGTAATGAAAAGAATTTACAAGGAAGATAGTATTTCCACTTTCATGTAGTTTTAATTAACAGAGTTGAAAATTGCCTTGGAGAGTTCTTTAGATCTACACTTGTGTGAAAGTTTTATTAACTTTAGTTGCTGCTAATTCACGTATTATTGTCTGAAGTATTAAATAATATTCAATTAAATTTTTTTTATATTTTTATAATATTCTACAATTAAATAATTGATTTTCTAAATCTTCTATTAAAAATTATTTTCATGCTGTGAATAGATGAATCATATCTTAAATATCTAGAAATTAATTTTTTTTAAATGCAGTCTAAAAATGTGAATATACACACTGAGTGGTGCATTCTGTTGTAGTTGTATCTATTAGTCGAACAGTGACAGTTGCATGAATTATTTTCCCTTTTCTGTCAATCAAAAGGGGAAACAATAGAATATAGAAAAATTGCGTATTGGAAGTAAAATATACATAAATAAATTATTGTATAATATTAAAAAAATAGTTTAATACACACCAGAAGCGAATAAAAATTATCAGTAAACCAAATAAAATAGAAATTATTTTTAGTTTCTCTTCAGTGGGATAAACAATTATTTAAATTATATTCCAATTAATTCTTATTGATATATCGTGCAATGTTTAATAAAATAAAATTTATATATTGTTTCATTACAAAGATCGTGCAGAACACTTTTTTTTAAACAATCAAAGGACAATATACATATATGCGAAACATTTTCAGCAACATTTTCAGTGTACTTACATATTAGCAAAAAATTGAAATCATTAAGAAACAACATTTTTTCTTCTATTGGTCTTTTAATTGTTTTCTCTTTTCGATTAAGAATTTCTTCAGGATTATAAGAGGACAAAAAAATTTAAAATAAAAACTAACCTTCTAAAAGATAACTGAATGCATATTGAGAGTTTTTCAATGATCTTTCAGTGAGTTAGTATTGATAAGGATGACAAAAGCAGTTGGTACAGTTTCAATTTTAATCTGGAAATTCCGTTACATGAACCTGAGCACATTGTTGACCTAAAGTGTCATGATACTGTCGATCCACTCAATTTTGGAACGTTAGTCATCTCTTTAACATGAGATATCAGTTGACTATGAAACGTAGCACTGTGTTACATAGCAAGAACTTTGAACGTACCAAAAGCATTTTTGTGTTTGAGTTAGAGGGAAATTATTTTACAGGAAGTTTAGTACTCTACCTGTACTTGATAAATACTAAAATGGAATTTTGTTTTTCAGATATTTTAAAAACAAATTAATTAAAAGAACAGTAGAAGAAAAAATAGTGATATGTAACGATAATATTTTAATCATTGTGTAAGTCTTAATTTTCCAGTATTTGTTTTTTTTTACTTTTCTCCGTTACCAAGTTAAAATTTTAAAAAACTTATTTATTGAAATATCCTCTTGGAGTTAATATATATTTTAAATATATTGCTATTATACTGATATCTAAACTCTATCTTGAGGGACTGGACTTACACCATTTAATCGCGGGATATCGATGCTCGGTACATATGTCGTTTCTTCTTGACTTCCAGAATAATAACGACTTCTCTGCATTGAGGAATGTGGACTGCAACGACTGCATGATAAGATCTCTGTTGCTGTGGTAGAACATGATTTTGCAGTTGGTCTTTGACGAGGACCACAACGTATTGCGAAACGCAATTCTGAAGCCATCTCAGCGCACAGAGACTGTTTCAAATATTAAACACTATAATACTGTCTAGTAATTAATGTTACTCGATTTACAAGAGAGAGAGAAAGGGGTTATCAGATCCTATATATATGTGATAAGGTCGTAGTTAAATTGAATATAATCCGTAATTATCGTTGTAATTAGAGAGCGTTACACAAAAGCAATACAATATCAATGTATGTGTGTCCGTATATCTGTACATTTACTACGTATACACTTGAATTTCATGCAAATAGATTCTGATATATACTTTTGGTATTCTAATTTTACTCCTCTTTCTTAAAAGATGATTTTTTTTATCAATCAGAATAAATAATAAAAAAAACGGTATTTATTAATTTTTTTTTCTATCTGTTTCTTATGTATGACCATTAACATCAGAGGGAGTAAAAATATATACAGTTGATCTACCAGAAACTTTTTAGGAGTCTATTTCCTTTTGTTTTGTAATAATTATTCTTACTAAATTCATAATTATCGTCCACCATACATGCAATAGTATACATATGTAAATAAATTTTAATTACTTACACGATCTGACTGAGCATTCTTCTTTGAATTCCAACAGAATTCAAGAATTGCTACGAGAATAGCTAGTGCTAAACCACATAGTAAAACAACAAAAACACCTCCTGTAACAAATCAAAAACACTTTATTTTAGTATTTGATTTAATTTTTAAATCCAATTGAAAATTAATGAATTGTTAGAATAACAGCCAGTTAAGGAATATGAAAAAGAATTAAGGGCATCTGCAAATAAAAATAATTTTATTTGAATTAGGAGTTTCTTCCTCAGCGTATTGTAACGATTTTGTTTTTCTAAAACTCATAAATCGCGACATACAGAAATCTTAAAATTATTAAGAATATTAAACAAGAAAAATACTAAATAAATCGACAACATGAAGTTAATCCAAGCGAAGAGAAACGAATGTTGATCAAAGATAAAGAAAATAATAATAAATCCGTTTATTTATTGATAGTCAAAATTTTCATATATTATAATTTAAATAACACTCACTTCGAAAATAAACTAAACCCTGCGCAGGTAATTCACAGTGGAAAATATAAAATTCATATATATACATAATACGCACATTAAACATAATCAAAATAAATTGAGAGAATATGTTATACAACAAGACTTCAAATATAATAATAATAATTTAATAAAAGTTAAATAGTGATCGCACTCTCGCTCTACGATTATCTATCGCTCTCAATGTCATACATCAAATCAATAATAAGTAATTATGTAGAAAAATCATAAAATAAATACTCATCAAAACAAGGTCGAAATATGGGGAACCTTGACGATTTCCTTGATAATTTCCGGAATCGAACTAAGCGCTCAGCTCACACCGCTCTTACGTGGGGATCCGTAGGTGACGCCACCGATTTAGCGGATATCATTGTCCGGAGTTTAGATTGTCCCAAAGGTCCCGAATAGATTTCTCATAGTATTTAAAATATTTATGTAAAAACGGCCACACTTTCCGTGTTCTGGCCAGGCACGCGACAGCGTAGCCGCTGTTGAAACACTGTCGCGTCGACGAGGTGCGAAGATCAATTAATTTTCCTTCGCAATAATTCCCTCGAATCAGCGTTTCAACCCGACATAATCTTAATTAGACCCCACTCTATGGCCAATTATAGAAGGACACGAAAAGTGTTTACTCGAAGACTATCCGGTAGCATCACCCAGGGGTTCGTAGAGTCAAACAAAGTTTACCGCTTCAGTATTAAGTTCCTGAGTTTGTCAGTAAACAGTAGATGACGGCGCCAATCATAAACAGGAAAGGTGTGGTAGTAATATTAGAAAATTCAGCTAAACGCAAACAGAAAGAAGGGCAGAGAAAATAGAAGGGAATAGTCCGGGAGCTAGCGAGAGTTTTTAGTGACTTATATGATCGTGAATGAAAATAGTTGTTAATTGGTATGCGTTATGAGGTATGAATGTTTGAATGTATCGTCGAAAAATAAATTATTGAGTAGTGGGGAGAGAGTAGGTAGGGAGCAAGCGATTGGATAGACGAAAAGGCAAAATTGAAAATTAGTGTGGTCAAGAGACCCGGGCACATGCTGTTGTGCAAAGAAAAAGATTTCGAAGGCTGGTCAACATCGACCAAGTAAATAATCACCATGTCCAATAGAAGTAAGTTCCGTTTTATAATGATTATATGGTCTAATTTGTGATGATATTGTGTGATATGTGATTATGTGTTATAGCGGTTGGTGTATAATTGGCACAGCACCTCGTGTGGTCGTCGTTAATACATAATTAAATGTATTTTGTCTATCTTATTATTTTTCTCAAATCTCACGTTTAAAAAAAAATAAGAAGGAATCTAGATGACTAGTTGGATCTTCGTCATCATCTTGATTGTAAAATTTATAAATTTCATATCTACATTCTTATGCCTTCAATCAGTTGGACGAAGAAGTTCTCTCATACGAATTCTGTATGCTGACGTTGTCTTCTTTCGATAAGCATAATATATAACCAATTATATGACGGTCAGTGAGAAACAATGTATTTGTGTTTGTCTTGTACAAATAATTAATTGATATTAATTGCGTTTACGGTCCTTTGACACACACAAAAATAACTTATTACCTAAATACATTTGACGATACTGATTTTTAGATGAATCTATTTTTTATAATAATTTTTACGTAAGAAAGAAATTTATTTGATTATTGATGATAGTTCTGTGTAGCTATATTTGTATTATATTTTAAAAGAAATTAATAGACTATTTAAATGAGATTCGGGTTATGAATGTGGAGTGACAAGAAAATTGAATAAATTTGTAAGTTCGAATAAAAATAATTGTTAAAATTATTATTAACTATTTGTTGTAATAAAATTTGTAACAGTGTATAACACCAAATAAGAGTGCTTACAGTTCTATAGCTGTGTAGTGTTTGTCAGTTACGTTTACAACATCTACATAAAACATAAAAAAAATACCTTATTTGATCGTCGTTATTCTTTTAAGGACTTGTTAATGAACATCAACAGAAGTCAAAAATGTATTGCTTACATTTATTTAACGGGGACAAATACCGCTATGAAGAGCGAGAAGATTCAAAAGTACAAATAAATTTTGTTGAATAGCCCTGGAGTATTAATTGAAAAATTATTGATTTCGAAAAATAAAAAAAGCTAGAACCAGACCTACCATAGGAATTTTCATTTTCAAACGAAACGAACAAATATTTCATTGAAAAAAAAATGAACGGAAAAATATTTAACTATAAATAAATGTAAGCGATACTTTTTTTTACATCTGTTGATGTTTGTTAACTAGCTGTCAAAACAATAACAACGATTAAATAATGTTTTTTTATTTCATGTTTTACAAGCTTTAGATAACAAAAGCACTGAAGGCGAATTTATTTAATATTTATTGTAATAAATTAATTGAAATTAAAAATAAGGTTAAATGAAAAACTCGAATAAACTAATTGTTTTGGGCGCCAGTCCTTTTTCGGCTAAGTACCTGCAGCCGGTAATGTAGGAACCTTATTTATTAAAAATAAAATTATTCTCAATCTGTTTTACCCACTGTACATTAAAGTTTGTTTACCGTTCACCCAATAGATGGCGCTGACTTCAATGTATTTTGTCGACTTTGATTTATCCTTTTTATAATTAAAAATGAAATTTTTCACATCTTAATCTGATTTACCGACTGAACATTCAAGTTATTTTACCGACCATCCAATAAATGGTCGGTAAAATTTAATTTGAGATTGGATATAAAGTAATTCATTAAGAAATAAAAATAACTTTTTAAATCATTAATGAAAATTAAAAAACTGTAAAAATTGTGAGTTCTTTAGTGATTTGTAAAATTATAAATTGCACAACGTCACACATTGTATGAACTATTTGGAAAATATATTGTACCCAATATCTGTTTATAAAAATTTTATTTTATACACGATCAGTATTAGAGAAACATTAATTTTAGTATAAAAAAAAATATTTCCGAAGTTGATATCTTTAGCATTTATTTGCACGCTTCTGATACCCATAAAAGTTTATTCCAATCGTTTAATGATAACATAATATTTGCCTTTATTGCCAGTGTTATTTTCAATTATCATTTGTTTTTGACTTTCTAGTGTTTAGTTCTCTTGATAAAAGGAAATGCGAGAAAGGTAGTACTGCCTGTAGGGTTCTTTTGTACGAACGGAAAACTTTGGCATAGGAAAAGCCGGAGGATGGTTAAATGCAAAAAGAACATTCGAACCAAGACGGGGAAATCGTGCGCGCAATATCCAACGACCGCCATCAGCGAACCGTGAGTTCGTCGTCGCGGGGAAGTTTTCTTACCCCTTCTCACTCCTACACAAATAGATTTTTTTTTATTTGCTTTTTTTCCCTTTTTTTGAACTGTGTAAGTTACTGTCTGAATTGAATCGTTTCAATCGTTGGAGAGTCAAGTTTTTCAATTAAATTTTTCTTTTACTTTTATTTTTTGTAGCAACAACAAAAAAAGTAAAAATTGTATGTATTCTTTTCAAGTATTTAAAATTAATTCTTAAATATTGTAAATGTTAAAATAGTCCAAAATAATATAATGATTTATCTAAACGACAGTTTCTAAAAAAAAAATATTAATTCAAACAATGATAGTTAAATTATTTTAGGTACTTTTTTTATAAGACTAGCTGTTATACTGATTATCGATATGATTTTTTTAACATTGATGGATTTAATTTAGTGTAATGTTGAACATGAAAAATAAAAGGTGTTAAATGTTTTGTTTCTCCATTTCTATAAAAAAAACATTTCAACTTAATATTGTATAAAAATATCGTTACAAGTCTTGCATTACTTTGCTTGCATGTAACACACCACATCTGTGCTAGAAGTCCCTACTATGTATTCATAGGTGGAAGTAACTCTGTGACTTTATCAAAACTTAGATATTTTTCTCCAGCCTTACTTTCGAGAGCTAACAGAGTTCAGAAGCTGTGTAAGAATCTTGTGTAGTAAACCATCTATATATGGTTATAAGGAAAACTCAAGTAACATCTCTATGCTCAGCACATATTGTTGCACGTTAGCTTCTTGCTTGTTGTATTTGAGTTTAAACTTTCAACTTAACGAGATATAGTCTTTCTACAATTGGAGGGATATAATTTTCGTGTTTTACTCATATGTGATGCTTTGGATTTTGATAAATAAGAATTGTTAAATATTTTAGTTTTCAATAAATATAAAACAATAACCCACAGTATAAAAGGATATTCTTGGGATATTCTAGACATATCCCAACGAGATATTCTAAGGACATCCTTGGGATATTAATGACATCTCAGGGATATGCGTTACCCACGCAGAATAGTCTAAACTATGTAAATTTAATTATTGCAACAAATAAAAGTAAATGCTTTTCCCATTGTGACGTCCTGGTATGTCAAAACCTCACACTTTTCTTTTTGAAAATTGTCTTAGGATGAGGGATGCAGAATGTCCTAATTTAAGATGTTATTATATTTTAATTATGTATTGTTGTGTATGTAAGAATGTTTCCCCGTGTAATAGAATGTTGTATGAATGAATATTATATTTTATTATTTCTGCTTATTTTATATTAATATCATTTTTACTCA